ACATGATTAGTGTACTATTGACACTTTCAAAATAAAGCAGAGACCTGTATTCTTATGGAGCTGAGATATGAGCCTGGGAAAATATAGAGAATCAGAGTATAATTGCAGGACTATTACATAAAAGCTTTATTAAAAATAAACTGTTTTATGTTCTCCAGGAATTTAGCAACTCTACTTCAAGCTAACATTGACTACCCTCAATTATAGGTTCTATTCATGGGTCCATGAACTTGACACTTGAAAGCTTCCCCTGAGAATCACTTGTCAAAAGTGTGCTTTGCCCATCGGAAGACTAGATTTATAAATACTTCAGCCTGCTCTTACTCTGCCTCTGCAGACTCACATGTCATTTTTCAAGCAGGCATCAATTGGAATGACCTTTCCAAAATTGAGTCAAGGATTCAGGGATCACATTGACACTGTACCTTGGCATTATCCTTGCTGCTTAGAAAGCATGTTTATGAATGTTAAATTGAATACTTACAACTTTGTAATGAAGGTGTATTGATATTCATTTTATAAACAATGAACTGAGGGTCGGAAAGGTTAATGATTTTCCCGAAGATACACAGATGGCAAATGAGACGCAAATCTAGACTCTCTTATCCCAAATCCAGCTCCTTTGGCTGTTGCCGTTTCGACTTGTGAATAAAGAAGACGTCAACAGAAGCCTCTCACGCGAGTCACAGAACTCACATTATATATTTTGAGAGACTCCATGTAACTGGAATTATAGCAATAGTTTGTCTAACTCAGAATACTAAAATAATAGAAACTATAAGGGACCTACTTTTAAAACAAATGTGCATAAAACACCACCTTGTGTGGATGGACCTGACTTCATAGTTGTACATTCAAGGTCTTTCCATGTTTCAGAAAATAAGTCGTCCTATTTCCTGTGCTCTGTGTCCTATATTGTCTTGACTTTAATTCCATTGCCTACACTCTTCCTTTTGCTTAGAATTATGTTCCTTACACCTCTTCCATCTCTGATTTTTCAAATATGACCTAGGCTTTTAGGCACCGTCCACATGGAATCTCAAAGTCATTATTCTCTAGTTGATCCCTGAAGCTGTGTCATCGTAACTCTATCCCCATCCAGTACTGTCTCTCTGTTTCAGAATGTGTGTGATGGTAGAAAGGCAGATGAAAGGCATCCAGATCTGTCGAGTTGTCTTAATCAGTTTGGACTGTTATAATAACAGTCTATAAATACCATTGAATGTGTGGATAAAACAACAAGCATTTGTTTGTTCACAGTTTTGGAAGCTGGAGAGTCTAAGGCCAAGGCACCAGCAGATCTGGTGTCTGGTGGAGCAGGCTTTCTGGTTTGCAGATGGCCATCTTTTTATATTCTCACATGTGAGAGCAGAGGGAGTGTCTCTCTCTCTCGAATCTCTTTTTATAAGTGCACTAATCCCATTCATGCAGGATCTAGCTTCATGATCTAATTATCTCCCAAAGTCCCACCTCTAAATGTCATCACATTGGGGATTTGGGCTTCAATATATGAACTTGCACATTCAGTCCATTCTGCCTCTAGTTACCCCCCGATTTATGTCCTTCTAACATGAAAAACACACTGATTCCATTTCAACAGCTCCAAAAGTCTTAGCTCATTCTAGCATCAACTCTAAAGTTTCAAGTCCAAAGTCTATAAATCTCATCTAAATAAGATATGGATGAGGCTCGAGGTATTTATCCTGAAGCAAAACTCTACTCCAGCTGTGAACCTGTGAAACCAGACAAGTTGTGTGCTTCCAAACCACAATGGTGGGATAAGCATGGGATAGACATTCTCATTCCAAAAGGGAGAAACCAAAAAGAAGGAAGGGGTGACCTGACGTAAACAAAACACCTTCCTTTTAATCTTGTTTCTTGCTGCCTTCTGGAGTCAAGCTCTAAAACCCGAATTTAAAATCCATCTCCCAGTGTGTCTGTGATGTTCATTGTTTTCAGGCTGAAAATGTGTCTGGCGCACACTTCCTGTGAGATCCGTTGGATCAGCCCACTCTGTAGTTTGCTGTTTAACTTTTATTTTGAGCAGATGAATGGCACAAGACAAGCAAGCTGTCTTCAGGCCTGCGGATAAACTGACCTAGACTCAAGAAAACTAGAGCTAAACGTATCAGACTTAGAGATAAATGGGTCAGTGCTCTTTGAATTCAGGACAGGTGAATGGCAAGGTATTGTTGTTGAGGATGTTTAATACAATATAACATTTTAAAATGTTAAATATAACATCTTAAAAATGATATAAAAGACATTATGAGAGAAGCCAAACCAAAAAAAAATTTATTTTGATGATTTAAGAAGAAACTTTTATTGCAATTTTAAGGTTTTGGGAAACATAATCTGTGTTTACCCAGATTATAAGATTGAGGACATCTTTACATTTTGCAGTAAAATGTAGCATATACCTGAAAGGCAGCTTATGTGAATAGTCTAGAAATATAGTTTCCTAGCATGGGGTATTCTTAAATAGTTCACCCAGCCTTCTGAAGAGTCACCAGCTCCTTTCTTTCTTCCTTCCTTCCTCCCTCTTTTTATTTTCTTCCTTTCCTTTCTCTTTCTCTTTCTTTCTTTCTTTCTTTCTTTCTTTCTTTCTTTCTTTCTTTCTTTCTTTCTTTCTTTCTTTCTTTCTCTCTCTCTCTCTC